TCTTGAAAAGAGATAATGGGGGTGCCGAAGCATCTCTCGTTGTTCTGGACTCTGATACCCCCCAACTCTTCCTTGAACAACGATACCTCTTTTCTTTGTCCCATTCCCTCCTCCCCCCCCCGGTCGTGCTCCCCTCTTCAACATAGACGGGCCTGTACTACGTGGAAAACTACCAGGCCGAAGATCAGGAGGTGGTAGAGGTCTCTTGCTTCGACTTCACCGTCCCTGACCCCATGATCCCCACCTCTGACTCCGAAGAGGGGAAGGAGACTTGGAGGAGAAAGGGTCGAGAAGCGGATGAGGAGCAGGAAGAGGATCCCCCTTTCCACGCCGCTGAAACATCAAGGCAAGATTGGGAAAGGCTGGCTTCCTCTTGGGATTGAAAACTTCCTCTTCCTTCCCTTCCCATTTTCTTCGCACCTCCCCTCGTTCAAGATTCTGAATCAAGGGGCGGAACGTTGTCTCCAGAATCGATCGCCCAATCAGGTTCCCAAAAGGGTCGATCATGACGCGGAGGAAGGGGGGACACCATCTTGCTTTGACACCTCCGCTCACACTCCCCCTTCCCCCCCACCAAAACCCTCACCCACTCTTTACATGTTTTTTACTTTCATCTCGTTCACCCCATCTTTGTAACAGTAACTTTTTCTCAACGTAGCCCGTCTCTTCATTCCTTCCCCTCTCTCCCTTCAAGAGGGGTTGAGAGGCCAAGTGGGAATTCAAATCGCAAACCTGCCTCCCAAACTTTCCCTTCCACCCCCTCCACAGCCCCCCACTTTCAACCCTTGACCCTTCCGCGCGAGAGGAGGCTCAAATGGGAATCCATGATGCGTTCAGAGAGGGAGGTGCGAGGAAGGAAGGAAGGAAGGAAGAAAAAAAAAGTACAATCGAGGGGGGTTGGGGGGAGGCCCACAAGTGGGCAACCTCCTCCTATCTTCTCAGAGTTTGTTTCGAGTTCGATCAGAGATGGGAGTTTTTTTTGAGAGGGAGCGGCGGAGAAGGAAAAGGGGAGTGAAAGAGGCCAAGGTGGAAAGAGGAGGGGGTCGAGGGGGCCACGTTGACCTCCTTCAATCTAGGTATCGAACGTCGGATCTCTTTGGCTCTGGGAAAAAAGATGGGGTTAAGGGGGGAGAGGTGGCAGAAGTATAAAAGAAAGGTTTTTGCCCCCCCTCAAATCAGCGTCAAAGTCAGGCCGGTCACCAACGTCGGGCCCCCCTATGGATACTCTGATTCCACTTCCGATGGGATGGTCTGAAACACTCACTGATGAGGGGATGGAGTTGAGCTAGGTAGACGATGCACCACATCAGGTACATGCACGTTAACGCTGAGACCACCGACGTTCGGATGAGGCTGCGTTTGGTGAGTCGACCGGTGATACGGAAGGCCAAAAGTCAGGGGGAAGAAGAATCAGCGAAGGAGTGATGGAAGGTAGGGGAAGAAAAGAAAATCCAAGATCGAAAGAGAGAAACACCGTTCCCCACCTAAGCAGCAAATCACTCATCCGTACTTGGAGTAAGGGAGAAAGGAAGAGCTCCCCAATATCTCACTGCGTGAAAAGCATTGGTTCCTCGACGTTCATCCTCATTCCTCTCCGATCACAGACAAGGTCACTGTCCCCTTCTCCGTTCTAGATTTCCTTCTCCCCCCCCCCCCCGTACCTCGAGCGATCGCCTGCCACTCACACTTGATTCGGACCCTTTGGAGTGGAAACCCAGGTTGTGGCGCTCACTCCGGCAACGCCTGCCAGCACCCATATCACGGTCCAGCCTGTCATTTGTGTGCGTTTCTCGGTTGTGGGGAGAGGTGAGAATGGGGAAGACGGTCCTCCTCAGGTATTTGCTTTCACGACTCGTTCTTATCTGTCCCTTCACACCTTCCTTCCTAGTTGAGTCTGGCGGGCTGTCGCGATGTATGCTGGTTGTTGCCAAGGTCAAAGAGGTTGAGATCGGGTTTAGTGGAGCTGCTTGGTTTGATTTTCCAATCCGGTTGCGCCCTGTTTAGATGGTGGAGGGTTTGAACGATTGGGGAGAGTGCGGTTGTTGTTGCCGTGGTCGGGGTCCTTATCGGTGGCCAGTGACGATGGTGATGTTGTGGATGATGGCAAGAGTGAGAAATGGGACCGATCCGATGAGGGTTTGTGAAATTGGTGGTTGGGTTGTTCCAGAGGGCTGACGGGGGTGCTCAAGCCAATCTCCTTACCTACGTTCAAAGAGGAGTCACGTGATACGAATGGGAGAGAGAGGGAGAGGGAGGGACGTGCACAAACCTCCACACAAGCCCAACCCCGAACATGTTCTCTCACTCTATGATCATGAATCACACTCTCCTCACATCGTGCCTCAACGCCATGCGCGCCATCGACAAATCATGAGGTGGCCAAGTGAGACAATCTCTGACGGAGCGACAGACAAAGTCGCAAGTCGGAGGGGGTTGGCCAGATGAAGGAGCGCTTTCAGTCAAGGGGGGACGAGTGAATGCTGGTCGTCACATACACATATTCTCTCCCCCTCTCGCTGGCCGTAGAGACTGTGGATCACCAGAGTTGGAGTGCGAGTGTTCCAAGAGTGGCTCCTGACTGAACTCGCTCAACTGTGGGATTACCGCATGATCTCATGTCGGGGCAACGATCAAGCGTGTGTGAGTGTGAGTGTGTGTGTCTGTGCTCTCGTTCGTCCCTACCCAAGGCTGTCTTTCCCGACCTCCGCCCTTGCCTTCCACATCTCCTTCTCCTTCCCTCTTGGTTACCAACATCTTGTTCAGGCTCCACCAGCGCTCTCATCCTCTTTCGCCTTATCTCTCACCAACCAACAACTTTCCCATCCCGATCAAATAAAAAGGAAAGGGCAAAGGCAACCATGTCCAACTTTGTTGACAACATCCCTTACAGCTCGCCGAGCACCCCTCATCCTCAACATCAGATCGGATGGGTAGGCCTCGGAAACATGGGATCCAAGATGGCCTTGAACCTATCCAAGCACCTTCAGACCCTGTCCCCACCCCTCCCCCCCCTCCTAGTCTGGAACAGGACCTCCTCCAAGGCAAAGGACCTGGAGAAGAAGTCCGAGGGAGCCTGCAAGGCCGTGGGTGAGCTCGAGGACCTCGCTCAGCGTTGCGATCTCATCTTCACCAGCCTTAGTGAGGACACTGCTGCCGAGGAGGTCTACACCATTCTTCTTGTGGGGGAAGAAAAGCGAGTTGGCAAAGGAACACAGGAGAGGATCTCCAGTGGTCTCTCCACCGTCTTTGTGGATACCAGCACCCTCTACCCGGAGACTACAGGTGAGTGGTAGGCGGCGTGTCCAAAATGAAAGGGACCTCCCTTCCCCCCCCCACTTCTCCGTCCTCTTCGCCCGACGATGGGAGTCTAGGCCGATTGAACCGACTGAATTTGAATTCACCTCGATTTCGTCTTTTGCTTGCCAAACCCCTCCAGGCAAGCTCGAAAGGCAGGTTTCTGCACTTCCAAAGCGTCACTTTGTCGCAGCGCCAGCCTTCGGTCCTCCACCAATGGCTGAGGCTGCCAAGCTCGTGTTCGCAGTCGCAGGTCCTTACAACAGCAAAAAGCACGTCAGTCAATTCCTTGTTCCAGCTATGGGCCGCAAGGTGAGTCTAAGACAGCTCGACCCATTTCCCCTGAACAAGGCCGTCCACCTAGAAGTGTGCACCCTCTGCTCAGATCCTTTTTATCGGCCTACCTCAATCTCAACCTGCTGACTCTTGATATATCGTTCAATATTGAACCCCAGATCATGGATTTTGGCTCGAATCCAGAGCGAGCCGCGTCCTTCAAGTTGATCGGCAACAGCGTGAGTGCGCTGAAGAGGAAAAAGAGCCCGGGCTCGGCCAAGGAGAGCTGTAGAGGATCACTGATGGTTTACCCAACTCGCCCTTCCACCCACCCGTGGCAGATCATCATCTCCACCATTGAAATGCTTTCCGAGACCATGACTCTTGCTGACAAGACGGGCGTCGGTAGCGAGAGACTCTACGAGTTCCTCGAAGAGTTCTACCCAGCTCCTTCGGCTCTCGGCTATGGTAAAAAGGTGAGGATGAGCGTGGAGTCAGGCTCCTTCCCTCTGCAAGGTGATAAGTTTGCACAGTGATCGCTCATTCACCGGAGGTCCCGCTCTTCCTTTATTCCCCACACTGCCAAATACACCGTGTTGCTTCAGATCATGACCAACAACTTCCAGGGAGAGAATGGCTTTACGCTTGAGGGCGGCATCAAGGAGTAAGTGTCGCAGTCAGCTGCTTTTCCCCTGCCTTCACCTGAGAGGATGCGAGGGAAGTATGAATCTGACTTTCTGAAATCCACTCAATCAACCTCGCCCTCCTCCTCCTCCTCCTCCTCCTCCTCCTCGCAGCGCCAGCCACATCCGACGCTTGGGTGACAGCGTCGACTGCCCGCTCCCAATCATCGACCTGGCAAGGCAGCACATGATCTCTGCCCGAGCCCACGGTGGCTCCCACTTGGATTGGTCTTCGCTCTCGGCAGGATTCCGCATCACTGCCGGCGTCCCTCCTTTCGAGAGGCCAGAGATGCTTCAGAAGCAGCCAAAGCAGTAGGCAGGGGGCGTGTCATCCTACCCTAGCCCCCTTGCCCGCCATCTCAACCCCTCGATGTAACTGAAGAGGCAGCGAAATGGATTTTTTTTACCACTATGATTTTTTTTTTTGTTTTTGGCTAGGACGAGCATCTCCACCCTCCCCTCTCTCCTTGCCTTTGATGCACCGACCTAAAGGAAGTTCTTAGAATGGAGCTGGTGAGACGAAGGGGGAAGTAGAAAAAAATAAAAGACACGCTGTAGACAAGAATGGACGAGCTAGTTTGAATTGCAAAGCAAAACCCCCTTCCGCCCAACCCTTCCCCGCCTCCTTCAATCGCCCAGTGCATCACTCCCTCGAAACCCGGGACTATCATGCTTGAGAGAGAGGAAGGAAGGGGTAAAAGAAAACAAGAAGAACGAAGGCATTCCCTGGAGCGAAGCAAAAGTTACTGAATCCTGCCGGGATTGAACCGGCGATCGACTGCGTACACGGCTTGTAGAGGAGTGTAAAGCAGTAGTCCTGACCACTAGACCAAGGATCCTACTGAGCGAGGTGAAAGGTCACGTGCTCCCGCCTCCACTTTGCAAGACTTAAACACCCAGGGTAAGCTTGTCTTTTCAAGAAAAAACAAAAAGAAAGCACAGTTTTGAATCCTGCCGGGATTGAACCGGCGATCGACTGCGAACAACAGCTGTTGTAAAGCAGTAGTCCTAACCACTAGACCAAGGATCCTGCACCAAGTGAGCTACGCAAGTGCCTTACCGTCGGGGAGGTAACATGAGGAAAATAATGCATCCATCCTATTTGCTCGTTCTTCATGAGAAGTTGCGTACTGACAACTCTGGCCATGACCTCCACCTTGCTCACCACCACAAGTGGGTTTGGTCTGGTGTCTCACAACTTGCTCCATCAAACCAACACCCCGCATCTCTCATACCTCGCCCAACCAAACTCACCTGTTGACAACCCCACTCGACCACTTCCCCTGCCTTGATCCTCCATCCAAAGTTCAACATCTCCACTTCCCATCTGTTTCTCTTCTCTGCGTCTCTTCACCTTTTCCCAAGATAAGGCATTTCCGAGGTCGAATCAAGGACGGGAGGGTTAGAGAGAGAAAAGTAAGAGGGAGAAGGTTGGTGGAAGCAGACAAGAGGGGGGGAGCTTCCTCGATTCAGTGGGGAAGAAGGGAAGTAAAAACCTGATGCACGTCTACGTTCAAGACTCTCCTAGGGTCCTCGTCCTTATCAGCGGTGATGATCCGGATCCACTCTCACAGGATCGAAGGGCGGCGGCGGCGTCGGCGTCTGGGAATAATGGTGCCATTCCTCCAGCATCTGAGGCCGACCTGGTCACCGGCCTCTTGATATCTGCAGCGCCTCAGCAAGGTTTGACGTCTGTCGCAAAAGCCGTCGTCCAATTGGTCAAGTCCAAGGGGCTCGAGGACCTTTCCCTTCAGAAACTAACCCCTCGAAGCGTGGCGGGATGTTTAGGTCTCATCAATGTCGGTCATGGTTAGTGTGAGACGGAACGATGGTAGAATGCGATTGTAGCATCGTGGTCTCTTTGTTCATCTTTGCCTTGGCATTTCCCAACCCCCTGTTTTTTCCACCTCCCGTCCTCCACAGATCTCTTTGTCGCTGTGGTCACTTCGGCTCAAGAGGTGGGAGCGATAAGGCCTGGTGAGGTGATCATGAGGATCACCTCGGTATCCTTTTATTGTGTCAACAGGTCGATCTGGGACGAGTCCCTGATTTCAGATTCTGGAGGAGGAGGTGTAGCAGGGGGCGTCGACCCTTACGATGCCAATGCCGTCGTCTCCGAGACCCCGATAGGCCAGCCAAGCCTATACGAGCACCCTTGCGCCAGCTTGAAAAAGCTGCTGGGGACGGGGACGTTTTACTACGCCAAGGGAGGTGGCTTTGACATCTCCACCAGACTGGACAAAAGGATCAGCAGTCCTCATTCGGGAAACCTTCACGACCTGAGCCAGTACGATAGTAGGTTTGTTTGGAACAATTACATGATAGAGCCTCTGATGGAATTCAGGGAGAGGCTGGAACCCTCCGAGAAGTCGAGATTTGACTCGGAATGTTTCCTGGTGAGTCCTCTACCCACGCACTTCACCTTATCTCAAGCTGTCTTTCGACCTGTGATGTACCTCGACCTCTGACTGGATCCTCTTTCCTTTCTCACCGCCCCGAATCCAAAAGCTCCTCGCCATTCAAGGATTTGTGGGTGTTTATGACATGTTCTCCCCCGTCCCCTTCTCCTCCTCCTCCTCCTCCCTGCCCTCGATCTCTTCCATGAATCGACAACAAAGTACGGTCTCGCTGATCAGCAGGCTTAGCTGGAAGCGAGCTGGAACCAGGTTCAACACAAGAGGGGTCGACGACGACGGCAACGTTGCCAACTTTGTTGAGACGGAGACCATTTTCCACAATGATGAGGCGACCTACAGCTACAACCAGGTCAGAGGATCGGTCCCCCTCTTCTGGGAGCAGCAAGGCCTGCAGGCCTTCAACGCGAGGATCCAAATCACTAGGCCAAGGATAGCCTCCCAACCCGCTTTCGACAGGCACTTTGCCGACCTCATCTTTCAGTACTCTCACGTTCACGCCATCAATCTGTTGGGAACGAGGGATGCTGAGACCGTTCTGAGCGCGGCGTACGCTGAACATATGCGAAACAGCGCAGCCGAGGGTGTGGCAATCTTGCCCAGCGAGGAAGGCGTCCCAGGAAGAGGGCCGCTCGAGGATGACTTGGACAGGATGGGGCTCACCAACTTTGATTTCCACGCTACGAGCCGAGCGCTGGGAGGCTTGGAAGGGGTCAGGAACGAGCTCAAGTTCCTCGGGCCCGTCCAGCTCAAGAGGAAGGCGTTCGGCTGCCTCGTGATCGATCCGTCCGACGGGCGCGTCCTTCGACAGCAGAAGGGAGTCTTCAGGACGAACTGCCTCGACTGCCTGGATCGAACCAATGTCATTCAGGACATGCTCTCCCAGGCGACCCTGGAGTCCTTCATGGAAGCGGCGAGGAACAAGAAGCCTTCCTTCGAACCTTTCACAGCTCCCACCCACGCTCTGTGGACGCACCATCGTGTCCTGTGGGCGGAGAACGGGGATGCCCTGTCAAAGATCTACGCCGGCACCGGGGCTCTGAACACGAGCTTCACGAGGAGCGGGAAGAAGACGCTCGGAGGTCTGCTGAGCGACGCGGCCAAGAGCGCCGGGAGGATGTACATCAACAACTTCCAAGACAAGGGCAAGCAGAACGTCATCGATGTCCTTCTGGGAAACATGGCAAACCAGAAGCCCGTCACCATCTTCGATCCGATAGCGGACAGCGTCGCTGCCGAGCTCAACGCAAGGGTGGACGAGTACTCGACGAGCGGGACCATCTCCATCTTCACGGGCACTTTCAACCTGAACGGCAAGTCACCGGGCGAATCCTTGCTCCCCTGGCTCTTCCCAGACGAGAAGGCGGAAGAGCCCGACATCTTCGCTCTGGGATTCCAAGAGATCGTCCAACTGACCCCTCAGCAGATCCTGATGACGGACCCGGACAAGATCCGGATCTGGGAGTCGACCATCGTCGATACGCTCTCCCGAAGGCAGGAGAAGCGGTCCGACTACGTGCTCCTACGAAGCGAGCAGCTGGTAGGTACCGCCCTCGTCATCCTGATCAAGGAGGAGCTCGTCGGCCACGTCAGGCAGATCGAAGCGGCCTACAAGAAGACTGGCCTCAAAGGAATGAGCGGCAACAAGGGAGGGGTCGCCGTTCGACTGGATTACCGTGACACGTCGATCTGCTTCGTCACGGCCCACTTTGCAGCGGGCCACAGCAATCACGAGGAAAGGAACGCCGACTACTGGACCATCACCCGAGGTCTGACGTTCCAGAGGGGCAGGACCATCGCCAATCACGACCACGTCATCTGGTTGGGCGACTTCAACTACAGAATCGACCTCCCCAACGAGACGGTCCGGTCCATGGCGTCGAGGGACGACTTCCAGGGCCTCTACCTCAGGGACCAGCTGGGAAGGAGCAGGGAGCTGGGGGCCGTCTTCCCCGGGTACTCGGAAGGAGTCATCCTCTTTCGACCGACCTACAAGTACGACAACGGCTCCAACGTTTACGACTCTTCCGAGAAGCAAAGGATCCCAGCCTGGACCGATCGGATCCTCTACAGGGGAGAAGGCCTCGAGCAGCAGAGCTACTATAGGGCCGAGCTAAAGACCAGCGACCACAGGCCCGTCTACTCTTGCTTCACGGCCAAGGTGAGAACATTCGACGAGGTCAAGAAGAACGAGATCAAGAGGCAGCTCATGATGGAGAGGAGGAGGAGTGGTGGGAATAGGAACGAGGTCTTCCCGCCCAACGGGTTTGCTCACCACGCTGTCGCCAGAGGGGTGGAGGGTTGTTCGGATGAGGAGGCATCATCCGACGATCCCGACCTCCCGCCGCCTTCGACTGACGAGAGGAAGTGGTGGGAGAGCGAGGCAAGAAGAGCAAGGGATGGGGAAGAAATCTCGAGCGATGACCAATCCGACTCGTCCGACTCTTACTCCCATTCCGATGAGGATGATGACGATCATGGTGGTGGTGATGGAGGAGGAGGAGGAGGTAGAGAGGGGAAGGATCGAGGCGGGAGCATGAAAACTTCAGTTGATCTTGGCAACCCTTTCAGGAAGAGTCAACAGCAGCAGCATCAGCAGCAGCGGGGGCGGCTTACCCAAGGAAGATCGAAGAGTCCCCCATCGAAATCGTCACAGATTTCGTCGTTCAGGAGTCCTCGCCCGCCACCTCCCCTACCAGGGACAACGGCCACGACGACAGGTTTGCCACGCAGCGTCGTCTCGACTTCTACGTCTTTCCAGAGCCCGAGACCACCCGCCAGAAGGAACCTCCAGACCTCCAAGGCCGTTTCACCCACGAGCGGGAGAAGGATCTTCTCCTCCCCTTCCAAACCTCCTAAGCCCTTCCACCAGAATGGTCAGGGAGGGTCAGGCATCGTCGGGGATCAGAGGACCCCCCTAGACCCGACCGGGAACGCCGGAAATTCCGAAAACCAACGACCCCCACCCCCTCCCATCCCGGTCAAACCTTCCGTCATCTCCTCCAAGGGTGAGGGTGCCACCAGCGGAGCGGTTGGGAAGAGTGGCGGTGGAGGAGAAGGAAAGGTCGAATCCAAGGCTTTCAAGAGCGGTGTCGGTTCCAAGGTCTCACGACCACCCATCGCACCTCCTAGACCCTCCCTCGGTCCGAGATCGGCTTCCTACTCGAGTCAGAAGAGTTCCAAGAGCTTGTTAGATGATAGTGACAGCGAGGACGGTTTGAAGATGTGAAGAAAAACGGGGGGACCGTTTCCCCACCTTTGGAATGATGCACCCTACATCATCACCCAGTAGATCGACTCAATCCTCCCTTTTCCCCCTCAGAATCCACCTTTTTACCGAGTACGCAGTGGTGTTCACTAGCTCCTTCACGAAACGGCTGAACTGAATCATCCAACAACCTCACATCAGACTTGAGGGCTTGCATGCGGAATTCCCCCTTGCGCATTCAAGGAGAACCTCACGCCTCGGGCAAAGATCCCGGGGAAAGCAGATGATAAATTCAAAGAAGACGAGCTTTCAAATCTGACTTCGTCCCTTCTCCCTAGATCTGGGCGAAATTGTTAGGGAAGAGACGCATTCGAGGGTCTTGCGCGTTCATGAAGTAACCTTTGTGTT